CCCGCCCTTCCTGGCTGTAACCCCTGGCCTGGCAGGCTCCTGAGATTTGCATCCATCTGGGGAAGCATGCAATCTGTTTTAAAAGCTGGCCATGCACAAATATTTGTGTCGGGTCTTTAAACGTGGGTGTTAATGAGCTGTTTGGGCCAGCCGCTGGGCTGCCTCTCTGCAGAGGGGAGTCCATGCCCCAACGGTGCCGCTTCTGCTCCAGGTGAACTTCACCATGTCCGAGGACACAACCCTCGCGGATCTGCTGCAGCTGAACCTGCACAAGTTTGAGGATGAGGTTCGTGGCATCGTGGACAAAGCCATGAAAGAGTTGGGGATGGAGAAGGTAAATGGGGCTCAGTCCCTGCCCTGCTGTGCTGAGAGCCCTCCTCCAATGTGGCTCTGTAACTGTTAGCGCTCGTGCTCCTGCTCCTGGGGCTGGAGCCCACACGCAGCGCGGCACCCGTGGAGCTCATGCCCCGGGACGCAGCACCACAGAGCACAGCTCATGTCTCACTCCCCCATCTGCAGGTGCTGAATACCCTCGACATTACCTGGGCGACGATGCGGTTTGAGCACGAGCCCCACGCCAGGACCGGCATCGTGCTGCTCAAGTCGGATGAGACGCTCATTGAGATGCTGGAGGACAACCAAGTGCAGCTGCAGAACCTGATGACCTCCAAGTACCTAGCCTTCTTCCTTCAGGAGGTGTCGGCCTGGCAGCAGAAGCTCTCGACCGCCGACTCCATTATCAGCATCTGGTTCGAGGTGCAGAGGACGTGGAGTCACCTGGAAAGCATCTTCATCAGCTCCGAAGACATCCGCAGTCAACTGCCGGAGGACTCAAAACATTTTGACTCTATCGATCAAGATTTCAAAGTGCGAAGCACATCCCCCCCAGCCCCAGGAGCTCGCTGCAGGTTCAGGTAGAGCTGAAGCATTTTTCCTCTTGCAGAAATTAATGGCTGATGCAGTAAAAACTCCCAATGTGATTGAAGCTACAAACAAGCCTGGTCTCTATGACAAGCTAGAAGCGTTGCAGAAAAGGTGAGCTTTGAGTCGTCCCCGTGAAGCGTTACGGAGAGGCCTCCGCCGGCTGGTCTAGAGCCAAAGGAAGGGTTTGATTTCTCCAAAGTGGCGTTTTCCTCAGCACGGCAACAACTTTGCAAGGAGTGAAAATTAGTATGGGGGGGGGGGGTAACTGCAGGTTTTTTCCTTGTTTTTCTGTTAGATTGGCGCTCTGTGAGAAGGCTTTGGCTGAATACCTGGAGACCAAACGGCTGGCTTTTCCCAGATTCTACTTTGTTTCCTCTGCAGACCTGCTTGATATTTTATCTCATGGGAATGAGCCAGTGGAGGTATGGGGTGTGTAAAGCGTAGAGGCTTTACAAGTGTCTCTTGCGCACTAACTTGCTATAGCACTTTAAAAGTATTTTTCACCCTGACGGACAGAACCGCCCCTGGTACCCCCTTCTCAGGGAGGCAGCGCCCTGAGAGACGTTCGGCCAAGCGGTGATCACAGCTCTCCACGGGAAGGGGTCCCTGACCCTCCACCATGCCTCTGTTCTCAGGTGTCCCGGCACCTGCCCAAGCTGTTCGACAGTCTGGCTAAACTGAAGTTCAAGATGAGTCCGGACAAAAAGCCCCTGAAGGTTGGCCTGGGGATGTTCAGTATGGACGAGGAGTACGTGCCCCTCGACGCAGACTGCGACTTGTCTGGCCAGGTCAGCCGAGCTCCGCGGAGCCTCCGCTTGCAGGGGCAGGACGGGGACGAGCCTTTTGCTTGTTGTGCACTAACAGCCCGTGGCAGTTTTAACGTGCAATCATGAAGCCTTTTGACCAACACCCCCCTCCTGAAATGGGGTCTGCGTCACAGGCGTAGAACAGCGCTGCAGCAATGTCAGAGTCACATACACCCGCTCTCAGGCAGCCACACTGTGTTTTTCCCCTCTCTCTCGTTCTCCCTCGGGCCGTGCTCCACAAACTGCCACGGGAAGTGCCCTGCGGGCTCTTTCACGCAGCTTGTTGCGACGCGCAGGGAGAAGCTTGCTGCGCAGAGCGGCAGGGAGCCGCTTGCACGGCATCGCACAGCCAGACCGTGCACAGGCGAGGGACCCTCACTCAGACTTCGCTGGATGTGACCCTCTAGGTCGAGGTTTGGCTGAACCGAGTGCTGGTGAGCATGCGTTCCACCCTGCGGTGCCTCATCCCCGAGGCCATGGTGACCTACGAGGAGAAGCCGCGGGAGCAGTGGGTGTTCGACTACCCAGCACAGGTGGGAGCTGCTGTGCGGGACCGGTCTGGCCGGCGGCTCGGCGAGCCCAGGTCCGAGAGGAGAAACGCACAGAGAGCCCGGGGAGGTGCAGGTGCCTGCCCCGAGCCTTCGCGGGGATGGCGTGTTTCCCTTTATGGCCACGTGTTGTCCCTGTGGTCTGCTGCAGGTCGCTCTGACGTGCACCCAGATCTGGTGGACCACAGAAGTCGGCATTGCCTTTTCAAGGCTGGAGGAAGGCTATGAGAACGCAATGAGGGATTATAACAAAAAGCAGGTTGGCATCTCTCAGACCTGACCCGGAGCTGTCCTGCAGCCCCTCTCTGCTCAGAAGAGGCGAGGTCTGGGCCGGGGGGTCACCGGGAGATGGGCAAAGTGTGACATCATTTTTCTATTCATCATTTCTTTCCTTTCTCAGATTTCTCAGCTCAATGCACTGATTTCACTACTCATTGGCAACCTCACTGCCGGAGACAGGATGAAGATCATGACAATCTGTACCATCGATGTCCACGCCAGGGATGTTGTGGCCAAAATGATCCTTGCGAAGGTATTTGTTACAAGAGGATATTTTTACTGCTTTGTTTCTTGGCCCTTCTGAGCACAAATTTCCTGTTATTTTATAACTTTCCAATATTTGTAAAGTATCCCAAAACCACACATGGGGTGTTAGGGCTGCACGGGAGCCGGGGAGGTGACAGCACAGCCGGGGTCAGACGGGACCAGACCGGGTCTCATGCAAAGCCAGATCCAGGAGCAGTTTTGCTGGTTCCTGCCATGGTTGGTGGGAGCTGCGATCCTCGGCGCCGGGCTGTGCACCGCAGTCGGCGGGCATGGGGCGTGCTGGGCACGTGGTGGGACCATCCTCCCTCACTCCAGCATTGCACTGGGACCCTTTTGCATGTTCTCCTCATGTATGGAGGTGACAAACGGTCCTGAGGCGTGTGTGGGAGCTCGCTGTGCCGGTGAGTCAGGGTGGGCAGCGCTGGTGCCTGCCTGCCCTCCGCAGCCGGCTGCCCCGCAGGTGGAGAGTGCCCAGGCGTTCACCTGGCAGTCCCAGCTCCGGCACCGCTGGGACGAGGGGAAGAGGCACTGCTACACCAACATCTGCGACGCTCAGTTCCAGTACTCCTACGAGTACCTGGGGAACACCCCCCGGCTGGTCATCACCCCCCTGACGG